TTAGTCTATTCGCGATGTCCCTTCAGGGCCACCATATTGATGTTGTCTCACGTGCAAATCGTATGTTAGGTCTCATCACTTTCGTCTCTGGGGGTCTCTCATCATGCACCGGCCCCTACTTGACTGTTCTTCCGCTTGTTGAATATGGTATACCAGCTTGGTTCCCTGTCAATCGTAATTTATGTGACAGATTAGAAAGCATCCAACGTAGAGCAACTCGTTTGATACTAAAACAGTACCGACAACAGATGCCCTACAATCAGCGTCTCACTTAACTGGTACACACTTGAGTCTCGTAGAAAGTACTTGCTGATGTCATCATTTGTAAATCTCTTTATAGATTCATTGACTGTGATGTAGTTATACAAAATATTCTGATGATAACACGTCGCCCTAATGAACTGAAGTTTCATCACCTACTTGCCCGAACACAGCGTTTGAATAATACCGCTTTGTATCTCTTTCCTCGCTTCTGGGATGAATTCCCTGTAGAATTCCGTAATGACTTTCTATTGTCCAATATCAAACCTGGCAATCAAAATTGAAAAGCCAAATCTTTTCTCAGCTCTATTAGGTTTTTTAGTATATATACATGTGTTTTATCTGCTTATTTTATTGTAGGATGATCAGTTATTAACCTTTTGTTTTCAGATGATGGTATACTCTTGCTTTAACTTGATTATTTACAGTAACTTAAAATTACTACTATCTGTTTCTACCACTATGTATTACTATTGTCAATTGAACAGCTTCTGTAATTTTCTTTGCCTTGGAAGTACATTACCCCCCGTTTTTTCTATAATTTGTTTGATTTTGTACGATTCTGGTTTAAAATGAACAATGTAAAGGAATAGTTTGTACTTTACAATTTTTGCCACCCATTTGCATTTCTGCCCCTTATATTATTTCATATATAACACAAAGCACATTTGTACATTTGTATATTTTAATTTTGTATAATTCAACCGAAAAATATTTATGTCAAATAACTGACACCCCTAGCCTGTATTTTGCTACCAAGACGTAGTCCATCATTCGTATCTGTTCCACTTTATAATTGTCCAACACGAAGGCATATGTGATTTTTTTTTTTTTTTTTTTTTTTTTTTTTTTTTAATAATTTGTTTTTATTTTGAACGATTCTTGGTTTAAAAATGAACAATGTAAAGGAATAGTTTGTACTTTACAATTCTTGCCAACCACTTGCATTTCTGCCCCTTAATAATTCTCATATATAACACAAAACACATTTGTATATTTTAATTTCGTTTAATTCAACCGAAAAATATTTATGTAAAATAACTGGACACCCCTAGCCTTATTTTTGCTACCAAGACGGAGTCCATCATTCGTATTTGTTCCACTTTATAATTTTTCAATACGAAGGCATATATGTTTAATGCTGCTTTTATTTGAATGCTCATAATTTTCCTTAAAAACATGAAATAATTTGTACTTTATTGATGCATTCAAAAATTTGAGTTTCTTCTTCTTTATCATTGTCATTGAGTGTTGCTATACTCTTGTTACTTGTTACAATGTATTTATGTATTGATCTCCCATGAGTACTGCAAGTCGGAATGGGGGACCTTCACGGTTTCGGTGATTTAGTTTGCCTGCCCCATTCCTGGCAACTTGTAAATGCTCATGGGAATCACGATGATTTTCATCCTTTTGTTTGTATGATTTGTTCTTCTATGTAATCCTCTGTATACACTTTGTTTTGCCGAATAAATAATAATAATAATAATAATACTTCTATGACATGCAGTAACAATTAACATTTCAGTACTCACGATAAATTTGTTTTAACAGTTGATTCCCCTCGGGTGATTCTATTGTTCGGCAAACTAAGCTGAGAGAGATGGAAGTTGACATTCTATTGACTGACGACCTTGCATTATTATTTTTTTTGATCATCGTCTGCTATTTTGAACATTATTTGATGACAATAAACATCACTCCGGTACCATTTTTATGTAGCGTCACATGGCAAATAAATAATCATCAGCACCGGTTTCATTTTAACGAATACTGAATTTGAACCCGTGCTTATGCTCCCCCCCCCCCCCCCCCCCGCCTCTCTCTCTCTCTCTGGTCTTTGCCTTCCTTTTCTCTCGCTCACTTCCTCCTACCACGGAGTATGTATGTGTATGCGTCTGCCTCAATGATTCTGCTCCTTGCACTTCTTCTTTCATCTTCTTCCTAGTCATGGGCGTCAATCATGGATGGACAGGGGTACATGCCCCACCCCCACATTTTTTTGTCAAGGGTGGGAGACACAGGCGCTTTAGCAACGCGACGGAAGGCAAAGAGGACGGAGAATTCATTCAACCCAGATCGTCCTGTACTATGCTCCCGTCTCCATTTGTAACCTGTATATGAGTGCATTTGCAAACACGACGGAAGGCAAAGACGAGGGTAACCGAGCAAAATGATCAATCTGTGCATGTGCGAACAAGAATTTCTCTCCGTCTTGTTGATTTTCACGACTGTTCTCAGCCATCATAGCAAGGGTGTCGATTTGTATCCGTGGTTTGGGGGGATGATAGGTGCCAAAATATTTTCTGCAATGGATCAAAGCAACCAAGAGGTAGAAGCGTGTGGCAGGTTGCACCCCCTCCCCAAGCGCGTAGCCAGGATTTCATTTTAGAGGGCGGTAGTGAGCACGCAAAGCGTGCAAATCACTTACAGAGCGCGCGAAGCGCGCTCCCTAGGGGGTTGGGTGCAGGGAGGGGTTTCCCTCTGGCCCCCTCCCCCGCGAAGTGCAGAAGCTTTGACGTTTCATTAAATTATTAGAGAAAGAAGACGATTCGATGTACCATTCATAGACTCTTAATCCTTGTTTGAACCAAGTTCCCCTTCCTCCGCGCATAGCGCGGAAGCTCTGACGTTTCATTAGATTACTAAAGAAATAAGACAATTCGATGTACCATTTTCGACTCTTAATCCTTGTTTGAATCAAGTTCCTCTTCCTCCGCGTGTATCGCGGAAGCTCTGACGTTTCATTAGATTATTAGAGAAAGAAGACGATTTGATGTACCATTCTCGACTCTTAATCCTTAATGTTTGAATCAAGTTCCCCTTCCTCCGCGCGTATCGCGGAAGCTCTGACGTCTAATTAGATTATTAAAGAAGAAGACGATTTGATGTACCATTCTCTGACTCTTAATCCTTGTCTGAATTCAGTTCCCCCCCCCCTCCCGCGCGAAACGCGGAAGCTTTACCGTTTCATTAAATTATTAGAGAAGGAAGACGATTCGTTGTATCGTGTCCTTGTCTGAATTCAGTTTTCCCCTCCCGCGAGAAGCGCGCAGCCTGGACGTTTCACTAAATTATTAGAGAAAGAAGACGATTCGTTGTACTGTTCTCTATATTAATCGTTGTCTGAATTCAGTTCCCCCCCCCCCTCCCGCGGAAGCTCTGACGTTTCATTAGATTATTAAAGAAAGAAGATTCGATGTACCATTCATAGACTCTTAATCCTTGTTTGAATCAAGTTCCCCTTCCTCCACGCGTAGCGCGGAAGCTCTGACGTTTCATTAGATTACTAAAAAAAGAAGACGATTCGATGTACCATTTTCGACTCTTAATCCTTGTTTGAATCAAGTTCCCCTTCCTCCGCGCGTAGCGCGGAAGCTCTGACGTTTCATTAGATTATTAAAGAAAGAAGACGATTTGATGTACTATTCTCGACTCTTAATCCTTGTCTGAATTCAGTTCACCCCCTCCCGCGCGAAACGCGGAAGCTTTACCGTTTCATTAAATTATTAGAGAAGGAAGACGATTCGTTGTATCATGTCCTTGTCTGAGCGCAATTCCCCCCACCCCTCCCGCGCAAATCGCGGAAGCTTTGACGTTTCAATAAATTATTACTCTTAATACTTGTCTGTATTTATTTTCGCCCATCCAGCGCTAAGCGCGGAAGCTTTACCGTTTCATTAAATTATTAGATAAGGAGACGATTCGTTGTATCGTGTCCTTGTCTAAATTTAGTTCCC